CCCCGCACGCGCACGCCAAGGAGGGGGGGAGGAGGCGGCCTGCCCCACAGCCAGCCCCCGCGCCGAGGAGGAGGAGGAGGAGGAGGAGGCGGACGAAGCCGAGGCCGCCTCAGAGCGCCCCTCGCTCCCCTCAGCGGCGCCAGAGAAAGTAGTGCCCGCCCTCCCGGGCGGCCTCCGCGCGCCCGCCAACTTCCGCGCCCGCCTTTACCCGGCGGCGGCTGCGGCGCGGGGAAGGGTCCTCGGCGGGAGGGTCGCGGTGCCTCCGCCAGCCTCTCTCGCTCGCTCGCTGGCCGGCGCGCCCCCTTCTCCTCCTCCTCCCCGGCCCCGGCGGAGGAGACGCCTCCTCCTCCTCCTCCTCCTCAGGCAGGCAGGTCGCTCGGCCGCGGAGGCCTCAGCACCGCTGCCGCCGCCGCGGCTCGGGGTGGCCGCTCCGTATCCCTCCGCGCCTGGCGGCGGCAACGACGCAAAACGACGGCGGCGGCGGCCACGCAGCGGCGACCCGCGCTGCTCCGCCCGCCTGAGGGGGGAGGAGGGGAGGACGGGGCCGGCCCGCCTCGCCTCGCGGGAAGGAGGACGGGGCCTGCGCCTCACCTCGCTGGGGCTTGCCCGCCCGCTCTCTGAGGCTCCGTGGGGCAACACGCAAGCCCGAGGCCGCCTTGCCACACGCGGAGGGCGGGAAAGCGAGGCCGGCGGCGCGGGATGGAGGAAGCGGCTGAGGCGGCGCCGGGGGCCGAGCCCTCCCCCCCTCCAGCCTCCCCACCTCCAGGCAGCCGCCCGAGACGGTGTTTCATTTAGGACTGCGTTCGATTCAAGCCGTCCTAAATTGCGGCTTTAAGTGTTTTCGTGTGGAAGAGAAGAAGAAGAAGAAGAAGAAGAGATTGGGTTTATACCCTCCGGCCCTTCACTACCCAGAGGCGTCTCAGAGCAGCTGGACAACTTGTGACTGACCCGAGGTCACCCAGTTGGCTGCATGTGGAGGAGTGGGGAATCAAACCCGGCACTCCCAGATTAGAGTCCACTCCGTGGCAGAGAAGAAGAAGAGACTGGATTTATACCCTGCCCTTCACTACCTGAAGGAGTCTCGGAGCGGCTCATAATCTCCTTTCTCTCCCCCTCCTCACAACAGACACCATCTGTGAGGGAGGTGGGGCTGAGAGAGCTCCGACAGAAACTACCCTTTTTCAAGAACAGCCCTGACAGAACTACAGCTTGCCCAAGGTCATCCAGCAGGTGCAAGTGGAGGAGGAGTGGGGAATCAAACCCGGTTCTCCCAGATTAGAGCCTGCGCTCCTAACCACTACACCAAACTACCTCTGCTTCATGTATGGTATACTTCATGTATGGTATTTGTTTGTAAGCCGCCTAGAGTGCTTCCCTTTCCACCTGGAGCGCCATAAGGAAGAAAGGGGGCTAATAAATGTCTTGAGCAGGGTTTGGGTTTTTGTTTTTTTCCTGGTGGAACACACTGAGTTCCGGAATCTCTTCAACAAAATGTTTAAATGTTTAATGTTTAAAAGTTCATGGGGTTTCAGTACACAGATTGAAAACATCTCCCTCTTGAGAGGTCCGGCACCTCTTTTGCAAAAGCAGGGGGGAAAGTCCTGGTTTTAAGTATATGAATCGGATGCCACATTGTAATCACACCTGACAGGAAGAAAGTGGATTCCTGTGACATGTGGTGTTGGAGGAGAGTTTGATGGATCCCCTGGACCACCGAGCAGACAAATGAGTGAGTTCTAGATCAAATCGAGGCTGAACTCTCCCCAGAACCTATAATGGCTAAATTCAGCCTCTGGTACATTGGGTGCATTATGAAGAAGACAAGACGACAGTGCAAGGAAAAGAGGAGGAAGACCCAACAGGAGATGGACGGACTCTGTCAAGAAAGCCATAAGGGCCTCAGTTGGCAAGACCTGAGCAAGGAGAGGACTCTGCGGGTCGCCATAAGTTGGGAGCAACTTGACGGCACTTCACACACACACACACTCCCACCTTGAGGTACAAAGTTCTACTTTTCATCACTCGTGAATCCACTGGCCATCTATTTCTTCTTGGGGCGCCCAAATTCTAGTATTTCAGGAAAGGAAAAAGAAACAGCTCTTTCTCTAATGGCTTACTCCTGAATGGGCAGAAGGGTTTTCTTCACCTGAGGAGTGTCCCAAGTGCTCCTGAGGCCTTTTCTTCTTAAATCCCACCCTGAGGGATTCTCCACTGTGCCTCCTCATCCTCTTGCACTTGTGAAACAGACGTTCGTGCCCACAGTAACCACCTAGTTGCACAGGGCCTTTATTTAATCTCAGAGTTAGAAGAGCCCCCACGCCCTGTCAACAGAGGAACTACAACTATAATATCAATCTTACTCTTTAGCCTGGGACAAATTGTTCCACA